GTATGTGTATGTATGAATGTGAGTTAGGGACCTTAGATTGTACGCTCCTCGGGGGCGGGGACTGATGTGAATGTACAATATATATGTAAAGTGCTACGTAAATTGACAGCGATATAGAAGTACCTGAAATAAATAAATTAAATAAATAGCGCTGAAAGCTGAAAATTGGCCTGGGCAGGAAGGGGTAAACACTTTTCTGTGCTGAGAGCGCCCTCTCTGGACAGTAACCAAACTGTGATCAGGAGCTTTCAGTCATGTGATCATTGCGAGAGCCAATCACAGCGGACACATGATCGGAATGCCCGCCTCCACCTCTTAAAGGGCTGGGAGGTGACGGCAGGAAGGGGTTAATGCGATCGTCATGTGATCAGGTTTACACATCTGTCCAATAAAAGGAAGACTGTGGATGTCCTATAATGCTGGTTAAGGCAGTATGGAGCCCAGCGATACGAAGGTGCGAGGAGCCTGATTTGTGCGCCTTTGCCTCCGTTCTGCAATAAAGTGTTGTTACGAGTAGCCTCTCTCCCCCCCCCCCCCCAGGCATCTCTCCCTCTCCCCCCCCTCCCCAGGCGTCTCTCTCCCCCCCCTCCCAGGCGTCTCTCTCCCCCCCCTCCCCAGGCGTCTCTCTCCCCCCCCTCCCCAGGCGTCTCTCTCCCCTCCCTCCCCCCTCCCCCCTCCCCTCCCCAGGCGTCTCTCTCCCTCTCCTCCCCAGGCGTCTCTCCCCCCTCTCCTCCCCAGGCGTCCTCTCTCCCTCCCCTCTCCCTCCCCAGGCGTCTCTCTCCCTCCCCCTCCCCTCCCCAGGCGTCTCTCTCCCCCCCTCCCCCCCCAGGCGTCTCTCTCCCCCCCAGGCGTCTCTCTCTCTCTCTCCCCCCCAGGCTCTCTCTCCCCCCCAGGCGTCTCTCTCTCTCCCCCCAGGCGTCTCTCTTCCCCAGGCAGGCGTCTCTCTCCCCTCCCCCCCCTCCCCAGGCGTCTCTCCCCCCTCAGGGCCCCCCCCCCCCAGGCGTCTCTCTCTCTCTCCCCCCCCAGGCGTCTCCTCTCTACCCCCCCCCCCCTCCTCCCCCCCCCTCTCTCTCCCCCCCTCCCCAGAGCGTCTCTCCTCTCCCCCCCTCCCCAGGCGTCCTCCCCCCCTCTCCCCCCCCTCCCCAGGCGTCTCGTCTCTCCCCCCCTCCCCAGGCGTCTCCTCCCCCCCCCCCCTCCCCAGGCGTCTCTCTCCCCCCCTCCCCAGGCGTCTCTCTCTCCCCCCCTCCCCAGGCGTCTCTCTCCCCCCCCCTCCCCAGGCGTCTTCTCTCCTCCCCAGGCCTCCCCCAGGCCCCAGGCTCCCTCCCCAGGCGTCTCCCCCCCCCCCTCCCCAGGCGTCTCTCCCCCCCCCCCCCCCCCTCCCCAGGCGTCTCTCCCTCTCCCCCCCCCCCCCAGGCGTCTCTCCCCCCTCCCCCCCTCCCCAGGCGTCTCTCCCCCCCCCCCCTCCCCAGGCGTCTCTCTCTCTCCCCCCTCCCCAGGCGTCTTCTCCCATCCCCCCCCCCCCAGGCGTCTCTCTCCCCTCCCCCCCTCCCCAGGCGTCTCCCCCCCCTCCCCAGGCGTCTCTCCCCCCCCCCCCCCAGGCGTCCTCTCTCTCCCCCCCCTCCCCAGGCGTCTCTCTCTCCCCCCCCCCCCCCCCTCCCCAGGCCCTCTCCCTCGCCCCCCCCCTCCCCAGGCGTCCCCCCCCCCCCTCCCCAGGCGTCTCTCCCCCCCCCTCCCCAGGCCCCCCTCCCCCTCCAGGCGTCCTTCCTCTCCCCCCCCCTCCCCAGGCGTCTCCCCCCCCCTCCCCAGGCGTCTCTTCCCCCCCTCCCCAGGCGTCGTCTCTCCCCCCCCCTCACCCAGGCGTCTCCCCCCCCCCCTCCCCAGGCGTCTCTTCCCCCCCAGGCGTCTCTTCCCCCCCCAGGCGTCTCTCGCCCCCCCCCCCAGGCGTCTCTTCCCCCCCCAGGCGTCTCTTCCCCCCCCAGGCGCCCACCCCCCCCCCAGGCGCCCCCCCCCCCCCCAGGCGTCTCCTCCCCCCCCCCCCAGGCGCCTCCCCCCCCTTCCCCCCCGGCCCCCCCCCCAGGCGTCTCCCCCCCCCCTCCCCAGGCGTCTTCCCCCCCCCCCCCTCCCCAGGCGTCTCTCCCCCCCAGGCCTCTCCCCCCCCAGGCGTCTCTTCCCCCCCCAGGCGTCTCTTCCCCCCCCAGGCGTCTCTTCCCCCCCCAGGCGTCTCCTCCCCCCCCCAGGCGTCTCCCCCCCCCGATGTCTCCCCCCCCCCCCGATCGTCTTCCCCCCCGGCGTCTCTTCCCCCCTGGCGTCTCCCCCCCCCCCTCCCCCCGCGTCTCCCCCCCCCCTCCCCAGGCGTCCCCCCCCCCCCCCAGCGTCTCTTCCCCCCCCAGGCGTCTCTTCCCCCCCCAGGCGTCTCTTCCCCCCCCAGGCGTCTCCTTCCCCCCCCCAGGCGTCTCCCCCCCCCCCCCCGATGTCCCCCCCCCCCGATGTCTCTCCCCCCCCGGTTGTCTCTTCCCCCCGGCGTCTCTTCCCCCCCGGCGTCTCTTCCCCCCGGCGTCTCTTCCCCCCTGCGTCTCTTCCTTCCTCCCCAGGCGTCCCCCCCCCCCCTCCCCCAGGCGTCTCTTCCCCCCCCAGGCGTCTCTTTCCCCCCCCAGGCGTCTCTTCCCCCCCCCCCCCAGGCGTCAGGCGTCTCTTCCCCCCCCCAGGCGTCTCTTCCCCCCCCAGGCGTCTCTTCCCCCCCCAGGCGTCTCCTTCCCCCCCAGGCGTCTCCTCCCCCCCCAGGCGTCTCTCCCCCCCCCCCCCCGATGTCTCCCCCCCCCCCCGATGTCTCCCCCCCCGATGTCTCTTCCCCCCCCCCGTCTCTCCCCCCCCCCGGCGCTCTTCCCCCCCGGCGTCTTCCCCCCTCCCCAGCGTCTCCCTTCCCCCCCCCCCCCCCCAGGCGTCTCCCCCCCCCCCCCCAGGCGTCTCTTCCCCCCCCCCCAGGCGTCTCTTCCCCCCCCCCCAGGCGTCTCCTCTTCCCCCCCCAGGCGTCTCCTCCCCCCCCCCGTCTCCCCCCCCCCCCGATGTCTCCCCCCCCCGGTGTCTCTTCCCCCCCCGGCGTCTCTTCCCCCCGGCGTCTCCCCCCCCCCCTCCCCAGGCGTCTCTCCCCCCCCCCCGTCTCCCCCCCCAGGCGTCTCTTCCCCCCCCAGGCGTCTCTCCCCCCCCAGGCGTCTCCCCCCCCCCCCAGGCGTCTCCCCCCCGATGTCCTTCCCCCCCGGCGTCTCCCCCCCCCCTCCCTCCGATTCTCCCCCCCGATGTCTCTTTCCCCCCCCCGGATGTCTCTTCCCCCCCCGGCGTCTCTTCCCCCCGCGTCTCTTCTTCCCCCCCGGCGTCTCTTCCCCCCCGGCGTCTCTTCCCCCCGTCGTCTCTTCCCCCCCGGCGTCTCTTTCCCCCCCGCGTCTCTCTCTCCCCCCCGCTCTCTCTTCCCCCCCCCCCCGGCGTCTCCCCCCCCCCCCCCGGCGTCTCTCTCCCCCCCCCCCCATGGCGTCTTTCCCCGCGTCTCCCCCCAGGCGTCTCTTTCCCCCCCCCAGGCATCTCTCTTCCCCCCCGTTGTCTCTCCCCCCCGGCGTCTCTTCCCCCCCAGGTGTCTCTTCCCCCCCCAGGTGTCTCTCTCCCCCCCCCAGGCGTCTCTCTCCCCCCCCCAGGCGTCTCTCCCCCCCCCCGGCGTCTCTCTCCCCCCCCCCCAGGCGTCTCTCCCCCCCCAGGCGTCTCTCCCCCCCCCCCAGGCGTCTCTCCCCCCCCAGGCGTCTCTCCCCCCCCCCAGGTGTCTCTTCCCCCCCAGGTGTCTCTCCCCCCCCCCCCCGGCGTCTCTCTCCCCCCCCCCCCCAGGTGTCTCTCCCCCCCCCCAGGCGTCTCTCCCCCCCCCCCCCCCCCCCAGGTGTCTCTTCCCCCCCCCCCCCCAGGTGTCTCTCCCCCCCCCCAGGTGTCTCTCTCCCCCCCCAGGTGTCTCTCCCCCCCGGCGTCTCTTCCCCCCCCAGGCGTCTCCCCCCCCCAGGCGTCTCCCCCCCCCCCCCAGGTGTCTCTTCCCCCCCCCCCCCAGTGTCTCTCCCCCCCCGGCGTCTCTTCCCCCCCAGGTGTCTCTCCCCCCCCCCCCAGGCGTCTCCCCCCCTCCCTCCCCCCCCCAGGCGTCTCTCCCCCCCCCTCTCCCCCCCAGGCGTCCCCCCCCTCCCCCCAGGCGGTCTCCCCCCTAGGAGATAATTTGATATAATAGTGAAATCCTTTACATCTGGGTAATAGATGAGGCTCATTTGTGCAGCTTCTCTCATCAGACACCACCATTAATTCTAATGTCGGGAGTGTCGTGTCTGCGGCCGCTCACAATGCGCCGGGTGCGGGGATTTACCGAGCGCCGTAAAATGCGTACGAATGTCTTCTGATCGGCGAGAGGTTACGCCGCGGCTCCTCTCCCCGGGCCGCCTCCACCTCTCCCGCTGCTGTGACAACAGCTTTTCCTCTTGAGGGACTTCCCACGATTCAGCATTTTTCCTCCCTAATAAAAATAAGCAAAACAGAGAAGTCTGGCGGTGAGCAATTTGGAAAGCCTCGTCGACTTTCGGGTTCATTAGCCGGGCGCCTCGCGAAGACTGCGTACTCTCAGAGCTCCGTAATGTGTGACATAACTCACCGCCCCCTCCCCCCCCACCACCTTCCTTCTCATGTAATTGGGAAGGAACATCGTGCTCCGTATGTTAAAGGGACGCTCCGTCTACCCCCCCCCTCCCCCCCAATCAGATTTATGGATGAGAGCCGGTCATAGAAATGTGTGATTACCTGGACTAGGGGGAGCGACAAAGCAAAACTTCAGCCCAAACTGCCATTTATTTATCTTTTGATGTTTGAATGAAATATCCAAATGTTATTAATCAGAAATAGAAGACTTCTCCCTACTTCCTGTGTAGTCACCAAGCAGGAAGTCAGCAAATTCTCCCCAACGGGTGTAGACAATAATAAAAAAAAATGTTTTATGCAGGCCATACATGGTTCAAATTTCGAATGATTTTTCGTCTCAAAACGTCGTTAATTCGGTAATCCGATGGCGTCATCAATGATTTCGAAAATTGGCCGACCGAGTCATAAAGTTCACCCCATATAACAGGCGAAACTTCTGTTCCTTCCAGGTCACGGCTCACGCGAATATTCTTTTTGGAAAAACGTTCGTACGATTTGACCATCATTGAGTCGAAAATTGGTCCTTTTTCACGAATTTTCCAACATGCCTGATCACCGAAAAGGGGAGGGGCATTGAAAATCGGCGCGTTTAGCTGCGTTTAGTGTTTTTTTTTAATCAAAAAACATTATTTTTTGGGTCAAAAACAGTCCAAAAATGCCGGTTTGCTGTGTTTACAGCAATTTTCAGCGTTAGAGCGTTTTTACAGCTAAAAAACTCTAGAAACCCACTAGTTCTGGGTTTTTTCCAGCCAAAAAACGTCCCTGCCAAAAACGTTGATTACAGTCTATTGCAGGCCATACATGGTTCGAATTCCAAACGATTTTTCGTCCGAAAATCAAAAACGTCGTTCGCTCGGTAATCCAATGGCGCCATCAATGGCGACCGAGTGATAAAGTTCACCCCATATAACAGGTGAGACTTCTGTTCCTTCCAGGTCACGGCTCATGGCAAATGTTCTTTTCGGAAAAACGATCGTACGATTTGACCATCGTGGAGTCGAAAATCAGACGTTTTTCACAAATTTTCCAACATGCCCGATCACCGGAAAGGGGAGGATCCACGAAAATCGGCCGGTGCCATTGACCCACTAACAGAGCGAAAATCTGCCGATTATTCTTAGGTCCGATTTTCAGGCAAAAAAATTGGTCAAATTTCGATCCATGTATGGCCGGCATTTGTGTGTATGGACACATAGGATAACAGGCTGGGGGGGGTTTACTAGCTGAAGAAAAAAAACATCAACAGCCGCTGTAAAACCATCCCGTGTGTGTGAGGGCTCATTGTCAAAGCTGAAGTTCGAAGCTGATTGGTTACCATGCACAGCGGCACCACATTCTGGGGGCTCCCGTTTCAGTAACTCTACCCCAAAGTGTTCTTCAATTAGCAGATGATTCCTAAGACTGGCCATCCACTATACAATTTGCTGCCCAATTTCCTTTAGATTTACCTTCAACTGTGTAGTGCAAGGGCCTACCTAATTGGACGGGGCTCATAAAGTTCACCCCATATAACAGGCGAAACTTCTGTTCCTTCCAGGTCACGGCTCACGCGAATATTCTTTTCAGAAAAACGATTGTACAATTTGACCATCATTAAGTCCAAATCGGTCATTTTTCACGAATTTTCCAACATTCCTGATCACTGAAAAGGGGAGGAACCACGAAAATCGGCCGGTGCCATTGACCCCTCTAACAGAGTGAAAATCGTCTGATTATTCTTAGGTCCACGGGGGATCGGCAGAGCTGGGAGATATTACTGAGCAGGGAATCAGCAGAACTGGGGGTTACCACTGAGTGGGGAATCAGCAGAGCTGGGGGTTAATACTGAGTGGGGGATCAGCAGAGTTGGGGGTTACTACTGAGCCAAGGGATCAGCAGAGCTGGGGGTACTACTGAGTGGGGGATCAGCAGAGCTGGGGGTACTACTGAGTGGGGGATCAGCAGAGCTAAGGGTACTACTGAATGGGGGATCAGCAGAGCTGGGGGTACTACTGAGTGGGGGATCAGCAGAGCTGGGGGATACCAGAGCTAGGGGATACTACACTGATACCAGGCCAGGCGTCTCCCCCCCCTCCCCAGGCGTCTCCCCCCCCCCTGAGGCGTCTCCCCCCCCCTCCCCAGGCCTCTTCCCCCCCCTCCCCAGGTCCCCCCCCCTTTCCCCAGGCCTCTTCCCCCCCCCCCCCCCCCCAGCCTCTTCCCCCCCCCCTCCCAGGCCTCTTCCCCCCCCCTCCCCAGGCCTCCCCCCCTCCCCCCAGGACGTCCCCCCCCCAGGCGTCTCTTCCCCCCCTCCCCCCAGGCGTCTCTTCCCCCCCTCCCCCCAGGCGTCTGGGGGGAGGGGGGGAAGAGACCATCATTAAGTCCAAATCGGTCATTTTTCACGAATTTTCCAACATTCCTGATCACTGAAAAGGGGAGGAACCACGAAAATCGGCCGGTGCCATTGACCCCACTAACAGAGCGAAAATCGGCTGATTATTCTTAGGTCCACGGGGGATCGGCAGAGCTGGGAGATATTACTGAGCAGGGAATCAGCAGAACTGGGGATACCACTGAGCGGGGAATCAGCAGAGCTGGGGGTTACTACTGAGTGGGGGATCAGCAGAGCTGGGGGTTACTACTGAGTGGGGGATCAGCAGAGCTGGGGGTTACTACTGAGCTGAGGGATCAGCAGAGCTGGGGGTAATACTGAGTGGGGGATCAGCAGAGCTGGGGGTACTACTGAGTTGGGGATCAGCAGACCTGGGTGTACTACTGAGTGGGGGATCAGCAGAGATGGGGGTTACTACTGAGCCAAGGGATCAGCAGAACTGGGGGTCCTACTAAGCAGGGAATCAGCAGAGCTATGGGTACTACTGAGCAAGGGATCTGCTGAACAAGGGTACTCATGAGCTGGGGATCTGTTCAGCGGGGGTATTATTAAGCAGGGGATACTACTGATCTGGGGTTCTACTGAGCCCCTTTAAAACAAATCGTAAATCAACACACCCAGGCAGATCTCACTTTCTTTTTATATATAAAAAATTATATATAAAAATGATGTGTACATATAACCTATCCTGAAATGACAAGCGCACTTTGGCATTTTCTATATGAGAATCAGAGAGAAACAATGATGATATCAGTGGGTCTAAAATAGCTATGAAAATGGGAAGGCTTTATTGAAAAAAGCAAATTAAATGTCAGCTTAGGAAAAAAAAAATATTTCAGTGCAAAAGTGGAGAGGGGAGGGGCCTGTGCACCCGTGCAAGGCTGAAGGTAAAGTTTGAATATTAAAGGCATTTTAATTTTTTTTGTAATATTTAAAAAAAAAAAAAAAAATAAAAAAACTACTTGCACCACCACCTACAACCCTCCTCCTTTAGATGGAGAGGTGCACAGGAGGTAGTAGGCTTGGTCTGGCACTCTGGGAACACCTTGTTGGTAGAATATTGCCCTCCTCCTCCTCCTTTGTTTTTCAGTGCATTCTGGGCAATTGGGAAGGTCTCCTGAGGTTATCTTTAAAAAATGCTTATAAACGCAAATGCACATAACGTGGTATGCAAACACAGATAAACTGACGTTTTTTAACCTACGGTTTCCAGCAGTCAGTTTCCATCGTTCAGAAGAGTTTTCCAAACGCCCCGCGTACATGAGCCCTAAAAACGCCCCGCGTACATGAGCCCTAAAAACGCCCCGCGTACATGAGCCCTAAAAACGCCCCGCGTACATGGAGCCCTAAAAAGACCCCGCGTACATGGAGCCCTAAAAACGGCCCCGCGTAGCGTGATAAAAAAAAAAAAGCCAGGGCAGGCCCTGTCAGTATGTGTGTAGCGGGGCAGCTGACGAAAAACTAGGCCCCTCTCACAGTGGAGCCCTTAGAGACCAGCAATGGGCAAACTACGGCGAGCGGAACACGCGTGATAAAAAAAAAAAGCAGCCAGGGCAGGCAAACATTGGCTTCAGGGGGGGTGTACTGGGGGGATGAAATACTATATGGCGTGACGAATTACTATGAGGGGGGGGATTGCTATGGGGCTCCTCTCACAGTCCGCCCTGAATTGACCGGAACGGGGGGCGGAAACTATAGGGGAGAGGAACACGCGGAGCAAAGGTAAGTAAATTGACATGTGGGGGGACTTGGCTTACTACTTGGGGGATGAATAGTACTGTGGGGGATGAAATACTATATGGGGGGGATGAATTACTATGGGGGGATGAATTACTATATGGGGGATGAATTACTATGGGGGATGAATTACTATATGGGGGATGAATTACTATAGGGGGGATGAATTACTATAGGGGGGATGAATTACTATATGGGGGATGAATTACTATGGGGGGGATGAATTTACTATAGGGGGGATGAATTACTATATGGGGGATGAATTACTATGGGGGATGAATTACTATGTGGGGGATGAATTACTATGTGGGGGATGAATTACTATGGGGGGGGATGAATTACTATGTGGGGGATGAATTACTATGTGGGGGATGAATTACTATGTGGGGGATGAATTACTATGTGGGGGATGAATTACTATGTGGGGGATGAATTACTATAGGGGGGATGAATTACTATATGGGGGATGAATTACTATATGGGGGATGAATTACTATGGGGGGATGAATTACTATATGGGGGATGAATTACTATATGGGGGATGAATTACTATATGGGGGATGAATTACTATATGGGGGATGAATTACTATGGTGGGGGATGAATTACTATATGGGGGATGAATTACTATGGGGGATTACTAATTACTATGGGGGATGAATTACTATATGGGGGATGAATTACTATGGGGGATGAATTACTATAGGGGGGATGAATTACTATGGGGGATGAATTACTATTGGGGGATGAATTACTATATGGGGGATGAATTAATTGAATTACTATGGGGGATGAATTACTATGTGGGGGATGAATTACTATGTGGGGGATGAATTACTATATGGGGGGGATGAATTACTATGGGGGATGAATTACTATATGGGGGGGGATGAATTACTATATGGGGGATGAATTACTATATGGGGGATGAATTACTATATGGGGGATGAATTACTATGAATTACTATGGGGGATGAATTACTATATGGGGGATGAATTACTATATGGGGGATGAATTACTATATGGGGGATGAATTACTATATGGGGGATGAATTACTATGGGGGATGAATTACTATATGGGGGATGAATTACTATATGGGGATGAATTACTATATGGGGGATGAATTACTATATGGGGGATGAATTACTATGGGGGGGGGATGAATTACTATGGGGGGGATGAATTACTATATGGGGGAGGAAATTACTATAGGGGGGGAGGAATTACTATGGGTGGGATGAATTACTATATGTGGGGAATGAATTACTATGTGGGGGATGAATTACTATAATGGGGGAATGAATTATATAGGGGGGAGGAATTACTATAGGGGGGGATGAATTACTATGGGGGGGATGTAATTACTATGTGGGATGATTTACTATATGGGGAATGAATTACTATATGTGGGGGATGGGGGATGATTTACTATAGGGGGATGAATTACTATGTGGGGGATGAATTACTATAGGGGGGATGAATTACTATGTGGGGGATGAATTACTATATGGGGGATGAATTACTATAGGGGGATGAATTACTATGTGGGGGATGAATTACTATAGGGGGGATGATTTACTATGTGGGGGATGAATTACTATGGGGGGGATGAATTACTATGTGGGGGATGAATTACTATGTGGGGGATGAATTACTATGTGGGGGATGAATTACTATATTGGGGGATGAATTACTATGTGGGGGATGAATTACTATGTGGGGGATGAATTACTATATGGGGGATGAATTACTATGGGGGATGAATTACTATATGGGGGATGAATTACTATATGGGGGATTAATTACTATGCTTACTATGGGGGAATATTACTATACTTACTATGGATGGCATGGTAGTGGCTGGGGCCGGCCAGCAGCTAGTGGGGGGCATAAAGTTTTGTAAATTAACTCTTTTTATGCTAAACAAAAAAAACAAAAAAAAAAAAAAAAAAAACAAAAAAAAA